TGGGTGGTGTCGGAGAATGTCACCTCTTGATTGTCATTTTCTTATCTGCAGAATAAGAGAGTAGACTGGCTTGTCACCAGACTCATCCATTGTAACGTTCTCTGCTTCTAATTATGAGATGGTTTTTATATGTGTTTCTTCCCTGTAAGCTGGCAGTATGAATGAGAACATAAAACAATTAAACCTCTCCTGGGGGGGGTGGCACGGACAGTTTGCACTGTACCCCCTTCTTTATATATCTCTTCCCACAGGTTTCCCATGACTGGTCAAAAGGAATTGCCAGCCCTTCTCCTATTCTCTCTGCCATTTGCAGAAGACACAGTTTCCACTGTGACCCTTTTTTTTTTTTTTTTTTTTTTTTTGAGACAGAGTCTCACTCAGGCTGGAATGCAGTGGCACGATATCGGCTCACTGCAAGCTCTGCCTCCCGGGTTCAAGCGATTCTCCTGCCTCAGCCTCCCGAGTAGCTGGGACTACAGACATGTGCCACCACGCCCGGCTAATATTTGTATTTTTTGAGAGACGGGGTTTCACCATGTTGGCCAGGATGGTCTCAATCTCTTGACATCGTGAACCACCCACCTCAGCCTCTCAAAGTGCTGGGATTACAGGTGTGAGCCACCACGCCTAGCCCACTTTGACCTTTTAGGACAGTTGCTTTCTCCTCACCTACTTAAAAAAAAAAATTGTGTAGTACACAATTCAAAAGTTAGGGAAGGATATACAGTGCATCTCTCTCTCTCTCTCTCCCCCTCTTTTTTTTTTTTTTTTTTTTTTTTTTTGAGACGGAGTCTCGCTCTGTCACCTAGGCTTGAGTGCAGTGTCATGATCTTGGCTCACTGCAAGCTCCGCCTCCTGGGTTCACGCCATTCTCCTGCCTCAGCCTCCCGAGTAGCTGGGACTACAGGCACCCGCCACCACGCCCGGCTAATTTTTTGTATTTTTAGTAGAGTTGGGGTTTCACTGTGTTAGCCAGGATGGTCTCGATCTCCTGACCTCATGATCCACCGGCCTTGGCCTCCCAAAGTGCTGGGATTACAGGTGTGAGCCACCGCGCCCGGCGCATCTCTCTCTTTTATGCTGTCTCCTGGTCACCTCATTCTTGTCTGTGTAAGCAACCAGTGATATGTGTATTCAAGTGAATATGCACATGTACATATATATGTGTGTGTGGTGTGTGTGTGTATTTAATCCAAATGGTATTTCTGAATCTGTTTTTAAAAAGCAAGCAAAAAAATGGGAAGTGACTGCCAGTGGGTACTGGGTTTCATTTTGGGGCAATGAAATGTTTGAAAATTGATTGTTGTAATGATTGATTGTTGACTAACTATAAATCTACTAGAAAACATTGCAACTTACACTTTCAATGTGTGAATTGTGTGGTGTGAATCACATTCCAGCAAACCTGGAATTTCAAAACCTGGGCTGGGAGCGGTGACTCACGCCTGTAATCCCAGCACTTTGGGAGGCCGAGATAGGTGGATTACCTGAGGTCAGAAGTTGGAGAGCAGCCTGGCCAACTTGGTGAAACCCCATCTCTACTAAAAATACAAAAATTAGCCAGGTATAGTGGCAGGTGTCTGTAATCCCAGCTACTTGGGAGGCTGAGGCAGGAGAATCACTTGAACCCGGGAGGCAGAGGTTGCAGTGAACTGAGATTGTGTCACTGCACTCCAGCCTGGGTGACAGAGTGAGACTCCATCTCAAAAAAAAGAAAATCCTGAAAATTCAAAAACAAACAAACAAAAAACAGACACAAAACCCTTTGAGATCATTCCGTTATCTGTACGTGAAGAGCTTCTTCCTTTTAATAGCTGTGTAGTACTCTACGAGTGGATGTACTCTTTTTATTTAACCAGCTCCCTCTTGATGGTTATTTAGGCTCCCTATGTCCTGCAATTACAAACTGTACTGAAGTGAAAATCTACACAAACATCATTTTGCACAACTTTGAGTGTATTTGTAGGTTAAACTCCTAGAAGTGAGATTGTTGGTGCAGAGGGTGAGTGCATTTATAACTTTAGTAGGTATTACTTGATTGGCCTCATAGAGATTAGAGATTACTGCCACCAGCAATACATAAGAGGGCATGCTTCCTACACTCTGGTCAGTACAATGCGCTATCTGACTTTTTGATCTTTGCAAATCTAGTAGGTAATGGTATCTCGGCGCAGTTTCAGTTTGCATTTATCTTACTGTGAATGAGCATTTACCTGTTGATTAACTATGTCGTTTGCTCATTTTTGTATGAATTGTTAGCCTTGTTTCTAATTGACATTGACTATCAGTTGCTTTAAAAGGAGACACCACCCCCTTGTACAGAAACCTTTGTTGATTCTTTGCTGTCAGTAGAATAAAAGTTCACATTCCTTGGGCTGGGACTCAGTGTTCTCCAGGGCCAAACTCTACTTTTCTTTTTTTTTCTTTTTTTTTTTTTTTGAGAGAGAGTCTTGCTCTGTCGCCCAGGGTGGAGTGCAGTGGCCAGATCTCAGCTCACTGCAAGCTCCGCCTCCCGGGTTCACGCCATTCTCCTGCCTCAGCCTCCTGAGTAGCTGGGACTACAGGCGCCCGCCACTACGCCCGGCTAGTTTTTTTTTTGTATTTTTAGTAGAGACGGGGTTTCACCGTGTTAGCCAGGATGGTCTCGATCTCCTGACCTCGTGATCCGCCCGTCTCGGCCTCCCAAAGTGCTGGGATTACAGGCTTGAGCCACCGCGCCCGGCCTCTACTTTTCTTTTCAACCTCATACCTGCGTGTTCACATAACTACTTTCTATTCCCTAAATATACCTGCATTCCCCTGCCTCTTGCCCGGCTTATGCTGTTCACACCCTTTGCAGTGCCTTTGCCTTGTCTCCCTACCTGAAGAACTTCTTTTCATCCCTCAAAGCCCAACTGAGATACCATTGCTTCCATAAAGCCTATCCCAGACCTTCCAGTTAGAATTATTCTCTCCCAGTGCTGTGCACCCTTGGGCTTGTTTACAGTTTGGTGGGAACACTGACCACGTTTTGCCTGTATTGCCCTTATTTATAGACATGATTCCCTGATACCGAATTTCATGTCTTGTCCATCTTTGCCTCTCCCACAGTTCTAAGTCAGAATTGAAAAAAAGAGTTTTTATTTCTTTCCTCAGAGGAGACCAAAGTGACTTTTTTCTTTTAAATTGTGGTAAAAATATGCATGCATTAAAATATACCATTTTAATCATTTGTAAGTGTATGTAGATCAGCAGTGTTAAGGACATTCCCATTATTGTGCAACCAGCACCACTTTCTATCTCCACACTATTTCATCGTCCCAAACTGAATCTCTAGACCCATTACATCCTAACTCCTCAATCTCCTCTTCCCTTAGACCCTGGTAACCTCTATTGTACCTTCTCTCTCTGTGAGTTTGACTACTCTAGGCACTTCATGTAGGTGGATGATATAATATCTGTTCTTTTGTGTCTAGCTTGTTTTACTTAGCATCACGTCCTCAAAGTTCATCCATTTTACAGCATATATCAGAATTTCATTCCCTTCTATGGGCTGAATAATATTCCATCCCACGTATATACCACATTTTTTCTACCCATTCATCCATGAATGGACCCTTGGGGTTGCTTTTGGCTAGTGTGAGTAATGCCGTTATGAACATGAGTGTACAAATAGATCTCTTCAAGTCTTTGCTTTAAATTTTTGGGGTGTATATCCAGAAGTGGAATTGCTGGATCTGATCATATCATAATTCTTTTTTGAGATGCAGTCTCGCTCTGTTCCCCAGGCTAGAGTGCAGTGGCGTGATCTTGGCTCACTGCAACCTCCACCTCCCAGGTTCAAGCAATTCTCCTGCCTCAGCCTCCCAAATAGCTGGAATTACAGGTGCGCACCACCATGCCTGGCTGATTTTTGTATTATTAGTAGAGACAGGGTTTCATCATGTTTACCAGGCTGGTCTTGAACTCCTGACCTCAGGTGATCCACCCACCTCAGCCTCCCAAAGTTCTGGGATTACAGGCATGAGCCACCACGCCCGGCCTGATCATATGATCATACTATGTTTAATTTATTTGAGGAACTGCTATACTGCTTTCCATAGTAGCTGCACCATTTTACATTCTCACTAAGAGTGCCTAAGGGTTCCAGATTCTCCACATCTTTACCAACACTTGTTATTTTCTGTGTGTGTGTGTGTGTTTTATAATAGCCACCCTAATGGATATGCAGTGGTCCAAAGTGACCTTTTTCTATCGTGTTTTGGATACCTGAATCACAAAGTCATATTTAGGAGAGCTCTTAGCATTCATATATCAGCACCTCATGCTCAAAACCTTGCCTCGATTTCATGACCAGATAAACATTCAGCTAAAATCTTTCTTGGTGCATGTAGCATCATCTATGGTGAAAGAATTGGACAACACAGCCCATCGTCTGAGCTTGCTTGTGTGTGACCAGGAGCAATAGAAGCCTCTCGCCTGTCCATATATCACGCAGGCTTGCCCTGGCTTCAAACTTATGGGAGAAAAAGGGGCCAGCGTGGCATCCCTGTTATGTTCCCTTGAGGGTGCACTTTACACTTTTTTGCCACCCTTTGACTTGGTACTGTCGGACCCACCACTTAAAGTCAGGACAATGGTTTGAAAATGTCTGAAGCTGTGTTGTCTCTGTTTTATTCTAAGGCAGGTTCCATCGCTACTGGGTTTGTTGTGAACCAGCTTCTGCCTTTGAAAACCAACTCTAGAATTATTGCCACGTAGATGTGACAGTCACATTCTGATCAGCAGATGTTACTGGGTCTGGGGAGAGAGTTTAATGTGACCTCATCTTCCATTGTATTTGTGTGTTGGTTTTTCCCCAATTCTTCAGTAGTGGTTTTGACATCTTCTATCTCCTGCATTCATTCATTGCTTTATAGAGACTGATATTTTTTATCCCAGGAAAATAATGATTCACGTATCTGTTATGATGACGATTTTTAAACTTTCTGTATTGCTAACTTTCTTTTTCTTTTTTTCAGAATGTTGTACCGTCTTTGGGTAGGCAGACTTCCCTGACGACATCAGTGATACCCAAAGCTGAGCAGACCGTGGCTTACAAAGACTTTATTTATTTCACTGTCTTTGAAGGAAATGTTCGCAACGTTTCTGAAGTCTCGGTTGAGTATTTATGCTCTCAGCCTTGTGTTGTCAATTTGGAAGCAGTTGTTTCATCCGAGTTCAGAAGTAGCATTCCCGTGTACAAAAAAAGGTGGAAGAATGAGAAACATCTTCACACCAGCAGGACACAAATAGTACATGTGAAATTTCCAAGCATTATGGTTTACAGAGATGATTATTTCATCAGACATTCCATCTCTGTATCTGCAGTGATAGTACGCGCCTGGATTACTCACAAATACAGTGGCGGAGACTGGAATGTTAAATGGGAGGAAAACTTGCTCCATGCTGTAGCAAAGAATTATACCCTCCTGCAGACCATCCCACCTTTTGAACGCCCTTTCAAAGATCATCAAGTGTGCCTTGAGTGGAACATGGGTTATATTTGGAACCTTCAGGCAAACAGGATTCCACAGTGTCCTCTGGAAAATGGTAGGTGATCTCTCTTGCTAGGAACCTAATTCTCATTTTTTTCAGATAGCCTGTATCATGAGCGAACGGCAGGAGAAAACTCTTCTATTAGTGATGGGGGATACAGGGAAAATGGAGGGACACATTGAGTCTGTAACTTTGAAGTCTGAAGACAAAAGGAGAAAAATTAAAATGGGAAGAGAGGAGAAAGATTAGTAGAGAGCAGGACAAAAGATGAAAGAGCAGAACAAAGGAGCTGAGGAAGAGGACTTTGAGAGGGTTAGATCTGCTTTAAGCTGGAAAGGAGTATTCATGCCACCGAAACAAGAATTGGGAAAATTTTCCCATTCCCCGCAAGCCCTATAAATTTCCTTTTTTTTTTTTTTTGAGACAGAGTTTTGTTCTGTTGCCCTCGCTCGGTGGACTGCAACCTCTGCCTCCCGAGTTCAAGCAATTCTCCTGCCTCAGCCTCCTGAGTAGCTGGGATTACAGGTGCCCGCCACCATGCCGGGCTAATTTTTGTATTTTTAGTATAGATGGAGTTTCATCATGTTGGCCAGGCTGGTCTCAAACTCCTGACCTCAGGCGATCTGCCTGCCTCTGCCTCCCAAAGTGCTAGAATTACAGGTGTGAGACACTATGTCCGGCCTCTATTATTTTTAAGCAGAGTGTTTTATCCTGGAGGAGATGTGAACCTAAAGGAACCCTTCCGACGGAAAGGGAGGTTGTATTACAGAATGGTAACCTCTGGCTGGGCAGGATTCCTGCCCTGCCACTTTCTATCTCTGTAACCTTGGAACTCTCTGAGCCTCAGTTTTCCTATCTGTAAAATGGGGATAATAAACAGTTCCTTCAGAGCAGTACTGTGAGGACTAAATGAGATGTGATTGCTTAGCACATCATCAGCTCTCAGTGAGAAGCTGTGATGATGATATAGTCCACACTCTGCGTTTTATCCTAATTGCCACATGGTCACAACCTTAGCAGGACCAATCCTGGAGGCTCCCAGGCCCTTCTGCAGCCTTTGTGAAGCCCTGGGACTGGAGATCTCAGGTGTGTGCTGAGAGGCGGCACTCTGAAGTTCTCTCCATTGTGCAAGGAGCGCCTTGCTCTGTGAATGCCGAGTGCCTGCCAGCTCTTCTTCTGCCCCCTCAGTGGGGAGCCCTCCACAGCTGTTTCCTCAACTGTGGCCCTAGGACCACCTATGACAGAATCACAAATGTTTGTTGCAAATGCAAATTCCTAGGCCCCGTCCTTCATCTACTTAGTTGGGATCTGCGAGGGTGGAGGAAGGCCTGGAATCGGCATTTTAAACACCTTCCTCACGACTCTGATGCAACCTAAAACTTGAGAACCTGCAGGCCAGGGACAGAGCTGGTTGGACTTAGGATTGCTAAGGTTCCGGTGACCCGACTCCCAGCCAGGCTTGGCAGGCAGAGGACATCCATGGGCTTGTGGCAACAGACCCTTCCGCAGGAAGTGCCTGACAGCTCAACTTCAACAGGACGGGTGTAGGACAAGGGGACTTAAGGACATGCTCTCTAAGTTTTTCCTCTAGCGATCAACTTCTTGTCACCTCTGGAATGGGATTTCTGGTGGGCTCTCTTTGCGGAAATAATGGCTATGGCAATTTCTTGGTACTGTCCCAAAACAGCTCTGCATCAAATGAAAACTGAAAGGACTTGTGTCACCATACGTGATAGCTGCTCAGAGGCCACTTACCCTAGAACTGGCACACATGACATATTCCAAAACTTTTTCTTGTTTTGAGACAGGATTTCACTCTGTTACCCAAGCTGGAGTGCAGTGGCATGATCATAACTCACTATAGCCTCAACATCCTGGGCTCAAGCAATCCTCCTACCTCAGCCTCCCGAGTAGCTGGGACCACAGGCATGCACCACCACACCCAGCTGATTTTTAAATTTTTTTGTAGAGATGGGGTCTTCCTATGTTGCCCAGGCTGGTCTTCAACTCCTAGGCTCAAGCAATCCTCCCGCCTTGGCCTTCCAAAGTGCTAGATTAAAACTATTTTGAAATAATTACAGATTCACAGAAAGTTGCAAAGGCTACAGAGTCCCCTGTGTGTCCTCACCCCAGCTTCCTCATTTTCCATATCTACAGTGCAAAATCAAAACTGGGGAAGTAATGCTGATCTAATACTGTTAACTGGACTCCAAGACCTTATTCAGATTTTACCATTTTTTACAGGGGCTCCTGTGTTTGTGTAGATCTATACAATTTTAACCTACGTTTTAATAGCCCTGTCTGTCTGGCTTATTCTGCGTTTGTGTGGTGCTTTAAATGAAAAGATATCTAGAAGATGAAAGCAAATTCCCTTTCTGCGTGTGTGCACATAGCGGGGAGGGTGGGGTGGGTAGTTAAATGTCTGAAAGCAGTCAAGTCAATCATTTTGATGATCAGTGTGCCTCCCTCTTCCAGGCAGAGCCCCATGCAGGCATCTGTCTGGAATACCTTGCACAGGGCTACCTAATTTGTTAAGGGGAAGAGAGCATGGGGCACACACAGCCACAGTTTGCTGTACCTCTGACTTTGGCAGGGATTAATGATTCCATTTCATATTTGACACATCATGTATTTCTCATTGAAGAATGACTGAATTGCAAGCTGGAAGTTTCCAAATGAAATCATTTAACGAACTGGCTCAGTTCTTAGTGTGCCTGAATATGCCCTTAAAATGTGAAACGTCTTTTCCTTCTTTTGTTGTTTCTTCTCATATTCACAAGGCTTGGGAACAGCACAGTGGGGTTTTTCTCCTCACCTGCTTCAGAGCATTACCTCAGGAGTGAGAATTAAACCATAATGCAGAGAAAACCCTTTCCCAAGAGTTAAAGTCACTGAAAATGGTGGGGAGCTCCATGCACCCTCAAAATAAGCTCTGATCACAAGGCTGTGATTTGTTTACCGAAAAAGGGGCACACATTCTTCCTTCTTCAAAAGACGGGTCACAAGAGCGTCTGCAGTGGCCCCATGGAAAACATCTATGACCTTTGTTCCAGATCTGGGCTGTGGGGATGGAAGGGGGCCAGGCCTCTGGTTTGTTTTTTAGCAGGGGCTTCTTGATGAACAAGAATCAAGTCAGAACAAGATGGCATTAGTGAGGCTCCGATCTGAGCCACAGGGGGCCTGTCATGTATGGTCCCTGTCTCAGCCAGCACTGATGTGGGGTTTCAGGGAAGGCTTTCTGTGTCAAGTGCCTGGTGTCCTACGATGGCCCTGCCTCTGAACTGAAGTACTCCCTGACTTGCTTTCATTTTCCTTTTCATGTATAAAAAGAGTCAAAGTCCCTGTGCCCTGGTGTTCTGAAAGTGTGCTTGGAGGACCTCCACCACTGGCTTTGCCGAGGCTCCCGAGGTGAGGGCTGCGTGTGTCCAGACATGGCTTTCAGCAGCTTATCTCCTTTGCCAGGCCAGACCCGGCCAGGCCATGAGGCTGATGTTTGGTGGAGATGCAGCAGATGTTTACCCAGCCCTGCAGGGAAAACCTGACCCGGATGAGAAGTCAGTGGCCATTGGGAACATGTGTGTGCCACGACTCGACCACGTGCCCCCGGTGCACCTGTTGCTGCTGCATCCTGGGTGTGGGGGGCATACGTAGCCATAGGCAGACTGTGAATCTACCTAGTGTGGCTTATTTCCTTGAGGGAAGGGACTGGGCATTTCTGGTGTCCCTCCCAAATCACATGTGTGACTGACTCACACTGGAGTCACGGAAAGAAAGGAATCAGCCATGCAGGCTGGTGACTTGGGCCCCAGACCTGGGGACCCACCTGGACTTCTCTTCCTGTCATACTCTATTTTGAGAGTCACCTAGTGCTGACTGTATGTGTCACATATTGAGTCCTTTCTTGCATTTCTCACCACATGGAGTGCCGTCGTCGTGGTCTAAGCCGTCATCCTCCTGTCTGGACTCCTGGCACTGCCTGCAAGTGGCCCCCCAGTTTTGCCCATCATACCCTCTTGGCCCCCCACCAGCAGCCAGTGCAAGCTGATCGCATCACTCCCTGATTAAACCCCCCAGTTCCTCCCATTGCCCACTGATCCCAGTTAAGATCAACCCATGCCCCTTACTCTGTGGGACTCTGTCCCTGTCCCCTTGCAGCCTCGTGTCCCACCATGCACACCCTTCCTGACTGCTTCCAGCAACAGGAGGCCTCCTTGCTTCTCCTGCAGCATACCGAGTTCATTCTTACTTTGGGACATGTGTGTGACTGCTCCCTCCACCTAAGTGCTTTTCTCCCAGATCACCACATGGCCACTTCCTTACCTCACTCACCCCTCTGCTCCAATGCCATCTCCTCAAGATGGCTCCCCCAGCCACCTTATCTAAGACAGCAGGCCCACCCCCACCGCCCTGCCTGTCATTGTCCACCTTCATTTTCCTTCCTAGCCTGATCACCACTGGATGGTTTCAGTGAATATCTTTAGTTGCCTATGTGCCTATTGCCTGGTCCACACTGGAGCACAAGCTCCACGAGGCCAGGGGACTTGTTTGCTTTGTTCTGATGCTGAGCATAGAGCCCTGCACTCATGACTATTTGTTGATTGAATGAATGCTCTTAGCCAAGGGGGAAGCCCTTGCAGGGCTGTGTTGCCACAAGAGGGAGTGTGTGGGGGTGGGGGTGGCTGTGCTCCTTCCCTAGGGCCACTGCACACACTCTGCAGCTTCCCAGACAAACCCACCGGGGCTGTGCTAGTTAAGTCTGCAGGCTTCTCCTGTTCAGGGATTCTCCTTTGCAGCCACAGGTAAGCTCAGCTTCCCCTTTGTGGTTTAAGTCTTTGATTCCCCACCCCTATGTCTTTGCTAAAGCAGTTTCTTTCCCCTAGTATAGTTCCTGTTCCGCCCCGACTCCCCCAGCCCACGAAGCAACACCTCCCCCCACTGCCACCTTCCATGCCTGCTTGGCAAAATCATGCCCCTATTTCAACAACTGGCTCAAATTTCTAACACTTTTCTAGCCCCCACCCTGAAGTTTTGTTGAGTTTTTTTTTTAATTTCCA